GCCATATTGTCAAACTCTCCAGCATCTTCGAGGCCATAATGTCAAACTCTCCAGCATCTTCCATGCCATAATGTCAAACTGTCCAGCATCTTCCAGGCCATAATGTCAAACTCTCCAGCATCTTCCAGGCCATAATGTCAAGCTCTCCAGCATCTTCCATGCCATAATGTCAAACTCTCCAGCATCTTCCAGGCCATATTGTCAAACTCTCCAGCATCTTCGAGGCCATAATGTCAAACTTTCCAGCATCTTCCATGCCATAATGTCAAACTCTCCAGCATCTTCCAGGCCATATTGTCAAACTCTCCAGCATCTTCCATGCCATAATGTCAAACTCTCCAGCATCTTCCATGCCAGGATATCAAGCTGTCCAGCATCTTCCATGCCAGGATATCAAGCTGTCCAGCATCTTCCATGCCAGGATATCAAGCTGTCCAGCATCTTCCATTCCATAATGTCAAACTCTCCAGCATCTTCCATGCCAAGATATCAAGCTGTCCAGCATCTTCCATGCCAGAATATCTAGCTGTCCAGCATCTTCCATGCCAGGATATCAAGCTGTCCAGCATCTTCCATGCCAGGATATCAAGCTGTCCAGCATCTTCCATTCCATAATGTCAAACTCTCCAGCATCTTCCATGCCAGGATATCAAGCTGTCCAGCATCTTCCATGCCAGGATATCAAGCTGTCCAGCATCTTCCATGCCAGGATACCAAGCTGTCCAGCATCTTCCATTCCATAATGTCAAACTCTCCAGCATCTTCCATGCCAGGATATCAAGCTGTCCAGCATCTTCCATGCCAGGATATCAAGCTGTCTAGCATCTTCCATGCCAGGATATCAAGCTGTCCAGCATCTTCCATTCCATAATGTCAAACTCTCCAGCATCTTCCAGGCCAGGATATCAAGCTGTCCAGCATCTTCCATGCCAGGATATCAAGCTGTCCAGCATCTTCCATTCCATAATGTCAAACTCTCCAGCATCTTCCATGCCAGGATATCTAGCTGTCCAGCATCTTCCATGCCAGGATATCAAGCTGTCCAGCATCTTCCATGCCAGGATATCAAGCTGTCCATCATCTTCCAGGCCATAATGTCAAACTCTCCAGCATCTTCCATGCCAGGATATCAAGCTGTCTATCATCTTCTTTCTCGGCTTTCTCTGCCTCTTATTTTCTCCAACTTTCTCACCATCACGATGTTCTCATTGTAGGCAACCATGCGTTGACGCATGCAAGGGAGACAGACCATGCAAGTGATGGACGGAGGTAATAACAGAACCCCTGATACTCCTGGGAGCGGCTGGTGGCTAGATGCTCCGCTTACCATCTTGATGGCTTTGGGTTAGAATCCGCATAGAGTCTGTTTTCCCTTTCAGGAGTGACACTTGCAACTTCTCCGTGAAGGTTCTGGAGCCCGTTGTGTGGTAAATAAGAATAGACGTACTGCATCCTAACAAGCATATCGTAGTTGTCGACTAAGTAGGGACATCTTTCAATGTCGGAGGGCATCTGTCCGAGAGGCAAGGAACCAAGTCTTCATACAATTAAACCAAAAAGTAAAAAGGTAAAGTCGGGAGATGTGAACCGGCGTCATTGCACACGGTTATAAACCATAAGTGCTCTGCCACCAGTACGGACAGCTGGTAAGAAACTCTCCGCCCGTGTCGCCGTCCGCATGTAACCCCGTAGCTAGAGCGACGTTCCTCCATTCACCCCAGAGTGTCAACTCTGTTACCCATTTCCTAGAGGCTGTGTGAATCCCTGCAACCGCCAGGTTTCGAACACCGACCGTAGCTGCAGCGAGTCGCAGCTGGATTTGAAAGCGAGCCTCCTATCGACTACGCTAACGCGGCTCCCGAACAACTAATCCAAATCTGTGAAACGAATGTGCACGCAACACTTAGGTTCCGGAACATGACTAAAATCTGGAGGTGGACGAACACTCAGGACTTTCCACCGGAGATGTGTAGGTTTGAATGTGTTCTGAGATTAACTGGTGTAATTTAAAAGAGTACATGTTTCAGAGCCTAAAATAAGTTCATGTCTTATCAAGTCTAAGGAAAAAAAAAAAAAGGGGGGGGGTGGGGGGTGGGGGCTGCGTGGTCTCGAGGCATGGTGTCCGCCTTGAGTGCTAGAGGTTCCGTGTTTAATCACCGGTAAGGGCTGGGATTTTTTCACGTGGATTTGGACTTCTAGTAATTTCCCCTGGTCTCTAGCTGGTGAGATCAGACGGCCGTGTGCATTGTTGAGCACGTAAAAAAAATCCCTTGGCAGTTGGAAATCGAAAAGAGTAGCCTAATGGCGCTGCCCTAGCGAAAATTTGGAGGTAATAATCTAGTCAAAGTATTTAAGGATCTTCGCCGGTGCTACAGAGCCTGTGCACTGTGCTGAGCTTTATTGGATTCAGACTTGAATTAGAGGAAAAAAGGAACATTTATGGGTTACTACCCGTGTGCCATGATGTTGATCCGTTGTTCAAACATCAAACCTTATCAAGTCGAAATCATGCCTTGTCTCACCCCCCCCCCCCCACCCCCTTTTCCCCCCCAACCCCTTTCCTTTGCACATGTATTTTGCTATCCAGTTCATCTATACAATCTACACTTACTTTACCTGATTGTACTGGAAATGAACTGGAAATGTACTGGTTCAATCACAGTTAATGTACTGCATTTTTATCTCAGAGACCTTCCCTAATCAATGGACAGCACAATGTTCTACTCCCTGGTCACCAGTAACCCAGTTAACGTACAAGACCACTGATTACGATGACAACTTGCTTAGACAATGTCCACCTTCTCTCTCTTTTCTTCGTTTCCAACTTTCAGTTATTTGTGAACTCTTTTCCTGACATTACAAATACATACTTTCAATTAGTTTCTTTCAAAGTTTATGACGGTGATTTCCGAACGCTGTCTTTACACGGGACTTGAAGGGCATCAGTGGCGTATATGTGAAGAGCATATTTTCATAATAGTAGCATCTTTGGTTACATTCAGCTCTAAGTGATTTGATAGCAGGTCGCTTTGTATCGATTGATCAACTGTATGATCGTCGATCGAGAAATATGCAGCTTCAAAATATTAATCTTCCTGTCTGGGCTTCAGGACCCTATTGTGATGGACAGGGAAGGTGGGGTAAGGTTGGTGGGAACAGACTATTCCCCCCTTTCCAACAAGCATGTCGTAGAAGTCGACTAATTATTATGTTTCCAACCTTCCTAGGTTAGAATATTTGCCTGAGCGTCTAGGAACCAACAGTCTGCAAACAAATAAGCTAGATCTGTAAAACAATTGTGCAAGCAAAACTGAACTTGTGGAACAAGATTGATGTCCAAAAATGGACGAACGACCCTAACTTTCCGCCGGCATTTACAGCAGGTGAAAGCTTAGGAGAAGAATGAAAAAAAAAAGATATTCACGATACTTGTAAGGGGTACTTTACTTATGTTGAATGTTAAATTAAAAATTGGCATCAGAGAACTTAGGACACTCCGCTAGCGCGCTGTCACTGTCTTCAGCAGCAAGCTAAGATTTATAGTTCCGATGGCACCAGTAACTGTCTGACTGTATATCCGTCTCGCCTTTCCCTTGAGTGTTGAGCGTCAGCTCTTCTCTTCTGAAAGTAATGATCTATTTGTGCCTCCGCACTTTTCACCCGCTCCCAAAGGATCCTCACAACATCCATCTTGTCATACATCAGTTCACCCCAAGTGGTGCACAACCGTCCAATCTGTCCGTCTGCTCGTTTCCCAACACACTGTCATCCCCTGGAGAAAAATAAATCAAAAGGACGCCAACAACCCGGGATCTCTGAGGCGATTCTGGCCTGCCTGCATGAAACATGCATGTCTCGACCTTTTTTCTACATGCTCTGTAAGTCAGTTACAATAAAGACATGAAGGTACAGCGATTCTTTTACTTGACCTAGAAACAGTCAAAGACGGGAACACGTGATAATGTAAACAATTGTTATCTATTTTTCTGTATGAATAAAACCCGTCGGTTGAGAAGATCTTGATCTCTCCCAAAGGCTTTTGTGTGTTATAATTCCCAGGAGCTTCCTGTCTGCATAAAAACCAGCTTCAGAATTATCGGCAGACAACGACATATGCAAAAACAAACTTGTTAGACCTAAGGTACGTACGACAGACGGTAGTTAAACAGGTTATTAGCGTTTCCTGTTGTTGTTTCTCTAGGCAGATGTTTCGTTCAATAGTTTGCCATTGCTTTCTAAACATTCGACTCTCGATACCACTGTCGAAAACAACGCAAGAGGGCCTGCTGCCAAATCGCCTGCAGCTGGGATGGAACCCGGCACCACGTCATTACGAATACTTTTATAAATGTGAGTTGGTGTTGTGGTCAACATACAAAATGTACACAAGTATTTATAATTGATGTGGTCAACATACATAGTGTACACAAGCATTTATGATTGATGTGGTCAAAATACATAATGTACACACGTATTTATGACTGATGTGTTCAACATACATAGTGTACACAAGTATTTATGATAGATGTGGTCAACATACATAATGTAAACAAGTATTTATGGCTGATGTGGTCAACGATCGTACCTAGCATACTCAAGTAATGTCTAGTCACACATGGTGAGATGCTTGGTACTGAGAGATGACCACAGAAGCGGACAAAGTAGACGGACTGACCATTTATCCATAAATTTATTATCCATCAATGCATGCATTATTTCCAACATGTCACCTTCCATCTATTTATACATTCAGCTCTTGATCCACCCGTTCACCTATCTGTGCATCTTCCCTCCACCCATCCAACCACATACCCAACCTTTTACCTTTATCATCCATCCACAAATCCAGACATCCAACCATCATCTCATCCATCAATCTATGCATCCACCGATCCATCAATCCATTCATCCATCCATTAGTCCTTCCATCCATTCACTATCTATCCACCGACCCATCAACAAACCAAACAGTCAACTCCCAATCAACACTTAAGACTCACCTGAAAGAAGATCACAACTTTACACATAGCGTCCCCCATAAACCATGTTTCGGTGACCGATTGCAGAACAGTCGGAGGCGAGCACAGCACAAGAACCACGGCATCAGCGACAGCCAAGTTCATGATGAACAAATTGGTGACCGTCTGCATGTGCTTGGAACGTACCACCACGAAACACACCAGGAAATTGCCCACCACTCCGATAGTGAACAGCACCACATGGAGACAAATGAACACCCATTCCATGGGAGTGGGGAAGATGTAGGCTTCCACACATTCCAAAGTGAGGTCGAGACTGAAGCAAGCGTTTACTGGGCAGATGTTTTGACATGTGTAGAAGTCGTGTTGTTCTGGTGTGGACTCAAGGGTATCGTTGAGTGTTCCATTCGTGGTCAGATTAAGGGACATCCTGAGATTGTCCTGTAGCTCCGTGTTTCTGGTGGTCATTGAATGAGGGTTGTAGGCAGCTGTATCTGTGACTCAACTCTTGCACCTGATGAGTATTCAGCAGAAAATGTCGCTACATCGTCAGCCTAAATCACACAAAGTATATTTTTGTTAAGTCAAGGAAATGGACTGACATAAACTTTACACTTGATTTATGAGATCGGAATTGTGTAATGTGAGTGAGTAAAAGGTTTTACAGATGTGAGAATCGACTTCATACCACCATATATTATGAAATATGACTCAGTCTTTCAACATAATCAATTTGCAATTGATTAGTACTTATATTATATATTTTGCTATACAAACATTACATTTTACATAGATAAATAAAACACACAATTGCTGTTTGAAAGAGAACTAAAGTGAAGAGCCCATTGTGACATGGGCTTGTATTCACGACCCTTTAAAAATAAAATTCGTTCCTTCGTTGGTTCATTTCACATAACAGCTATTTAACTTGACGATATAATACCGCAAAGCACACAACACCATATATCTCCAGCAACGACTCCTATAGATTATACGAAAAGCACACTGCGTACGGCAAGACTGAGTCAGAAATCGAATCCTCATTTTTCGAAGTGCAGAGCAAAATGCTCAACAAGGTAACCGGGTCCCACTAAATTGTGGACAAGCTAGTGGCAGTGCAATGGCGTTTCTGCCCGACTGTTAGAGGCAGTGCAATGGCGTTTCTGCCCGACTGTTAGAGGCAGTGCAATGGCGTTTCTGCCCGACTGCTATTAAAAAATTTGATGGCCAGTGTTGGTAACAACGAAAACCTAGAAAGAAATATTGGAAAAAGAGTGTGACACACACACATAAAATAATATCGACCGTTTGTAGTTAATTAATCAGCCTGAGCTAGGAATTAGACTGCATGGCCATCAGGTTGTTTCTATAACAAGGTTTTGTGCTAATCATGCTCGTCATGACATGGGATGTGATTTCTCCTGTCTGCCTCACAGCAGATCAGAGCACGGTCTTCTTGAAATACGAAGAAATGCCCCCCAAAAATTTATTTTAATGAGGGGAAAATGGAGGGGGGGGGGGGGAGGGACAGTATGCGTCTTCATCTTCTTCGTTTCTAGGGCTGTACTACCTACCTTTCAGCGTCAGGTTTGAAGTCTCTCTCTCACACACTTTCTCACACACCATGTTTCAAACTCTGTCTCACACTTGTTCTCTTACACATTCACATAATACTCTGACTCTCTCTCTCTTTCTCTCTCTCTCTCTTTCTCTCTGTCGTGCGCACGCTCTCTCTCTCTCTCTCTCTCTCTCTCTCTCTCTCTCTCTCTCTCTCTCTCTCTCACTGTTTCTCATTCAGACACTCTCGCAATTAAAACACACACATACTTTCTATGTCACTTCCACCTCCTTCTATCTAGACTTATCACATCAGTATGTAAAAACAGATGCTCCAGGAGCTGCTAAATGGGTTCCTAATGTTCCACAAATGATGTCAGTAATGATTCCAGGCCTTACAATCTTCTTACGTCTTTTTAAACTTAAAAATCAGCTGCCAGCAAAAATCTGGCAACTGAAGACACATAGCTGTAATCTGAATGAACGATGTTGGTGTCCGCATGTGACAGTCTGTTTGATTAGTTCGCGTCCTGAAGATCTTTTAGACAGAGAGATGGATGAGTAGTGGTTGGGATATATTGATAAAAGGATAAATAGGTAGGCAGATAACAGATAGCAACACGGAAAGACAGACAGACCTACTCCACCCCATTCCCCCCGACAATCACCCTATCTCCTCCCCCTTTCCCACCAACACCGCAAAAGTGGTAAACACATGCACGAATAAAGGTTAGTTGCGTATCCTTTACAGGATGTTGCAGAACCAACCCCATCAGCCCCTGGCTGTTGTGTGGTTTCACTAGGCACATTTACGTCCCGTAGTTTGCCATTGCTCCCTGCACGGTCAGCTCCCTGATACCACTGTCGAAACCAACGCAAGGCGTATGGCTCGCAGCTGGGATCGAACCCGGTACACCGGCATTACGAAGCGTTCGCATCGACTTAGCCACAGAGCTGACACATGCACGAATGGCAAATTGTTTTAACGTCTTCCCGGAAAGCTCAGTGACCTGCTTCTGAATTTTCACTTCACACTTCGACAAATATGACGATATGCTATCACAACCGACGTCTTTGCATACTGAACATCCCCATGAGTGATCAGTCCTTCGATGCAACAGGCACTCCTAGGTACCTTTACTGATTGTTCTCTGGAAGAGTTGGTTATAGTATCTCCTGTCTTTACCTCGAAGACGGCATAGACGTGCTTCCCCAAGCCTAACTCCTCAGTCACGCAATCGTGTTAGCGTACGAGATTCGCTTGGACCAATAATTGCATATGGTGACACCGCAGTAAAGGGTACCGCGCGTCTCAGCATAGGGCAATCACTTGTGGGTTACATGACTTGTTGCTGCTGGTGTGGCAAAGAGAGAGAAAGAGAGCGAGAGAGAGAGAGAGAGAGAGAGAGAAAGACAGCGGGAGAGAGAGAGAGAAAGAGAAAGAAAGAAAGAGAGAGAGAGAGAGAGAGAGAGGGGGGGGGGAAAGAGAAAGAGAGAGAAAGAGAGAGAAAGAGAGAGAAAGAGGGTGAGCCAGAGTCAGAAACGGAGAGAGAGAGAGAGAGAGAAAGACATAAAGTAGAGATAGAAGGGTATGCTTTGTTATCGCAATCGATGACTCTGCACATTAAGCATTTCCACACGTACTCAGTCCTCCGTTTAAGCAGCCATCTAAAGGTGTCTTTCTACTCCCTTATAGACGACGCTGCATCTGATCTCACCACCGATGCACGAGCCCCGTAGCTCGTTGTAAGAAGTGTATTTTAAGTCACTAGCCTAATATCTTTTGGATCCAAGACTTTATGTTTCGTCGTATCCGTCAGTTTAAAGTACGATTCTTAAAATACATGCTTTGTCTTGTTTACTTAGGAGGCTGCTTGGTCGTGAGGGATGGTGTCCGCCTCGAGTGCTAGAAGTCCCGGGTTCAATCCCCAGTAAGAGCTGGGATTTTTTCACGTGGACTTAGACTTTTAGTAATTCCCCCTGGTTCCTGAGTAGTGAGATTAGACGCCCGTGTGCATTGTTGTGCACGTAAAAAATCCCTTATTAGTTAGAAATCGTAAAAAAGTAGCCTAACGGCGCTGCCCAGGCAAAAATTGTGAGTTAAAGATCTACCCACAGTATTTAAGGAGCTTCGCCGGTGCTACAGAGCTTGTGCACTGTGCTGAGGTTCTTCCGACTCACACTTGAGTTAGAAGAAGAAAGGAGCACGTTTGGGTTACTATGCGTGTACCATAATGTTGATCAATTGTTTAAGCCTCAAACTTCTTGTTTATTTTACCTTCACATGTTTTATCCATTTGTTCCGTAAATCTGCATCTCATAGTTTTTAGTTCTCCTAACATGGTCTCTGCATATTTTACCCCACTCATTCCAGTGGTTTTGGTGCAATTAACCTTTCTTAGCCAACATACGAGGCACAAAGAAACGGGACCACATTTACAACCAATACAGTAGGTAAAAGGTGGTTGATTTTTGTTCAGGCACAGTTTTTTTAAATAAATGGATGGATGGATTGTCTTATTGTTCCTATTGTTCCATTATATGTCACCTATGTTTCTCAGTTCGATGTCTCCATTTCGCTCTATCTTTGTCTATCACTTCAATTATTATGGAGGGAATTCAGTCTAGCGCCCTTGGCTTCTCTCATCAGCGTTCTTTTCAGGGTTTCTCTTGAACGTCCTTGATTCCTCATTCCCACAGTTTCCCATTTCAGTGCCTGTTTGGTAATTCTCGCTTCGTCTCTTCTCAGAATGTATCCAATAAGGCTTTCTTTATGTCTTATGATTTAATACGCATAATTAAATCGGTGTCTTGTGTTATCTCTCAGTCTCCTTCCTCTCTGTTACTGTTTCTTCCTGTTTATCTTAAACTCCATTTTTTTTTTTAAACACACTTCTTTCTATTTTCTTTGTCCACTTTCGCTACTCTATCTCCTGTCGGTTAATTCCGTTTCTCTGGTCTCTGTGTGTGGTCTACTGTATCTGTCTGTTTTTCTAGGAAGAGAGGTCAGGGTGGTGGGAGGGCGGCAGCGATCCCCAGGTGGAGAAAAAAAAAAAAAACTAACAACTCTAGCAATTGTTCTGTCACGGATCCCTTCTACCCTTTATTTAAAACTATATCCAATCACATGCGGTAGCTGCAGAGATATGGTTTTACACGGAGCTAAACGCATATTTTAAAAGTCTAATCAGAACTCACTAGTCTAGAAAAACCACAACAGCCAGAGAGTTCTGGGGTTAGTTGTGCAATGTCCTTTAAAGAATAAGGAACTAATGTAACTTAATCAGAGCGCTGTGGGTGATATTGTCAGGACTACGCCAGATGCCTTTACGAAATTGTCTAGGATCTTTACGACGTTGTTTGGTATCGTTTACGACACTGTCTAGCATCCTTTACCTCATTGTCTAGCATCCTTTACAACATTGTCTTGAATCTACTTTAATTTGGGCCCACCTGGGAGTCAAGGTCAGTTTCCAACAAAATTCTTACCTACCTCCATCAGACTGAAACCGACAACCTCGGAGCGGTAGGCAAGCGCTGAGTCAATACCCGACCCCGTCTCCCGCACCTAAGACGTATTGAAGGAAACTAACTCACAAAGAGAAAACTGGTTAAAACTATACCTGAGGATAGTAACATTTACCAGGCAGTTACGCTAAGCATGAGATAACCACTGCTCTCAGAACTCTTGCTTGAAGAGCAGAATAAGCAGCAATATGACAGAGGATCAAAGTACACTCTATGCTTTAGAAAATGTCAACAGGCAACCTCCGATATGAATGGATAGACAACATTTAGAAGTCGCAGTCACTTAGATCTACACAACTTAGCATGTCGGAGTAAAAGGTAATGCATCTGTGGACCAGATGGCAAGTATTGCTGCACAGTGGAAAGGTGCATGGACAGAGCTG